CCCAGAACCCGCCGTCGCAGCGCCCCACCCACTGAGCCGGCCGTCGCAGCGCCCCGCCCCCGCCCCAACTTTCGGCCGCGCGCACCACCCATCTGGCGGCGCCGCTGCAACCGCCGCCAACCAACCTCCCCTGGTCGGGATCTTGCGGCCGCGCGACAGCCACCAACCCGCGTCGCAACCGCCGGGATCCTGCCTCCGCGCGACCTTCCTCCACCTGCCGCCGCGACCTTCCTCCACTTGCGGTCGTGACCTGCAGCGGCCACGACCCTCCCCGCGGCGACGCCACCGTCCATCGCCCAGTGGTGCAGCACACAACTCACGGAGATCCCCATCGCCGCTGACCGTCCGGCGAACTTCCCTGCCACCTTGCGGTGGACCTCTCCTTGCTGGTAACCTGCTCCGACGACCTTTGCCGGCCTACTTCAACCCCGCTCGTGGGCAGTCCGCGCGGGCAGCCATCTCTCATCGATTTGTCTCATAGTCATCCAGCACAGCACTTGTGTTTCAAGGCTGGCCACCTATTCCATGTTGAGTATGCAGTGATGTATCCTGCATGAAGTTGTAGCAGGTTGACGTTGTTTCCTCTCTAGGAAGACATGGCACTGTTCGTGTGTGCTGTACTGCATACGAGCATATCTAGCTCTATTTTTTGCAAGTGTGTAATGTGTTAGTTGATGTGTTTCGTTGATTTAGTCAACTATGTTTGCAAAATTTCTTTTTTCATAACTTGGTATGCATCAGTTTTAGAGATATGTGTTCAAGTGTACAACAATTTCCGCCTACAGAGGATAAATGCTTGGCGTGAGAAACACAATTGTTGTTGGTGATCCACCAAGATATGTGTGCGTGTGTGATTATGCATCATTTTTTCTTTAGTTCACATGGGGATCACATGAGAAGTCCAACTATTAAAAAGAACAGAGTTCAGATATAGTAAAAATGTGAAGGAACAGAGTTCAGAGTAAATACGAGCATATGAAGCTATGTTTTCTTTGTTACTAGTACTATTCACTGTTCAATATTTCAATGTGAAGGAATTGTCACTGCAAGTATTTGATATACGTGCTAGTGTGGCTGTTTTGCTAGTCTAGAAACTAGTTGAGGAAAGTTGACGTAGTCTTGTTGTCTAGAGATGGCCAAGACTTGGGCTTGGTTCACGGCCTAGTTTCGCTTCGCAAGCAACTCTGCTCCCGCTTCACACGTAATCTCTACAACAGTTGCTACTCTGAACATACACGTACAGCTCATGTAAATAAATGAGAAGTCCAACTATTAAAAAGAACAGAGTTCGGATATAACAAAATGAGTAAAATTAGTGTAAACTAAAAAATGAGAAAAATGTGATGAATCAAAAATTTAAAAACTCAGATTTTTGTCGTTCCTAAAGAGTAAAATGAAGAAGTTCAAATTAAAATAAAAAGAGCAACTAAAAAAGTTTAAAAATAGAAATTTCTTGTTTATTAATAAATTAGAAGTTCAAACTAAAATAACAAAGTGGTTTGATGTTTATTAAAAAATCTAGGATTTTACCTTTTTAAGAAACGCAAACATCTGTTATTATTAAAGTATCAACCACGAAGTTCAAAAAATTGGATAAAAAGTCAGATTTGAAGTATATATAAAAATCAAAAAGAATTCTTTACTAAAAAATAAAAATGTGAAGTTCAATTTGAAATAACATAGAAGTTTGAACAATGTAAAAAACTCAGATTTGTTGCAAGAAGTTCACGTGCACCCCCGTGCATGGTTCCGAATTTATATTGTGGGATGTCCGACCTCCAATTACATGTTTTAAAAATGACAAAAAATGACGTCGGACCTCCAATTGTGTGTAATTCGACATATACACAAAAATGTGATAGAAGTTCGTAGTGAAAACAGTGAGAAGTTCAAGTACTGCAAGGAATGCATTTCAGGTGAGAATAGAAGTATAGAAAAATAAAAGCTTAAAAAGTTTGTTGCCAGAAGTTCAAGTGCTCTGTCCGGGGAATTTCAAAAATTCTTGCGAGAGAGGTTCACCTTGTATTTCCATGTTCGATTTTTTCCATATAAAAATTGAATACAATTCTTTACTCAAAATATGAAAAGGTGAAGTTCAAATTGAAATAACAGAGAAGTTCGGAGTTTATTAAAACATAGGATTTACCTGTTAAAAAAATAAAAAACACAAGCTATTTTTTGCACTTTTAGAAACAACTCATATACGAAAAAATGGTAGCTAGAAGTTCAAGTGCTCGGCGAGGAAAAGTTTAAAAAATTCTTGTGAGAGAGCTTCACCGTGTATTTAGATGTCGAAAATACAAAAAAATATATGTTGTTTTTTGTGTTTTAAAATAATTCTCTCAAACCAGAGAGAAGTTCAGAGTGATAACGATCGGAAGTTCACGTACTACATGGTGTGTATTTCATATAATAAAAATACAATAAAGTGAAACTGAGTGAAGTTCAACCAGAAATGACCCAGAAGTTCAACTACTTCACGCGGTGCAAAAAACAGCACGTCAAAAAACAGAGTAAAGTTCAAACAAACATGCCCCAAAAGTTCAACTACTTCATATAGTGCATTTTCGTTCGCGATGAACGCATAAATCATGATCTCGCCATTTTTTAATTTACCTCAAAACGACAGGAATATCATTTGTGTAAGTTCAAGTCCTCGGTCGGAGAAAGTTAAAAAAATTATTATGAGAGACGTTTGTGCAAAAGGAATATTATTTGTGTAACACTAACGAATGGATGAGAAAATTACAAACAAAAATACGTCACAGAAGTTCAACGTGAAAACAGCAGGAAGTTCAACTACTACGCTGAATGAATTTTAGATGAAAAACTTTTAAAATCGTTGCGAATATGAAAAGATGATCAACACGGGAAACTTGCGTGCTTACAGCAGCTTTCCATCGGTATATCACCTGCTCAATTCCGGTGAATGGATGGAGAGTTACGAGCAGTGGATGGAGACCTACGAGCAAAAAAATCACGTTAAAAACAGAGTGAAGTTCAGGTACGCGCGCCGAGAAGTTCAGGTTGTTCACACGGTGCATTTTCGAAGAATCTGTTTCGCGATAAAGGCAGAACGCATGATCTCTCTGTTTTTGAAATTACTTGAAAACGGCTAGAAATCAGAGAAAACCATCAACATGAAAAAGTTTCGCATTTTTCGTAGCTTTTCAGTGTTATATTATTTGCCCATTCCGATAAAGTTTGTAGAAATTATGGTAAAAATACGTTTTTAGCCATTTGCAAAACTGACATAACCGTAATTAATTAGGAGAAACAATATATACAAAAAAGTTTCGCATTTCTTCAAGCTTTCCAACGCCATATTATTTGCTGCATTTGGACATACAGTTAAAAAATTAGCTCGAAAATACGAACTCGGTGGAACTTGTACCGTTTTCTAAATTACTTTTAAACCGTTCAAAATTAGAAAAACTTTTAACATGAAAAATTAGCGCATTTTCATAAGCTTTCCAACGCCATATTATTTGCCTCAATTAGATTAGCCGTTTAAAAATGACATCGAAAATACGAACTCGGGTGTTCCGTTTGCGAAATTCTACGATTTTCCGAATTACTCTTTAACCGTAGGGAATTAGAGAAATCTTTCAACATGTGGAAGGAGCGGTTTTGCAGCAGCTTTCCAACGCCATATTATTTGCCTCATTCCGATAAACGGTTTAAAAATGTGATCAAAAATATGATTCACGTTTTTTGTACGAAGAAAAAACGAGTTTCAAAACTGCTCTTAAACCACTTACATTTTGCCAAAATTTTAATTTGGGTCATGATACTGGTGTGCATAACTTTCCAACGGTATATAGCGAGCCCCATTTGGACATCTTTTAGCTGAAGTTCAACCTAGCACACGGGGAAGGTCAGGCGCGTTACTCGGGAAGTTCATGTTGTGG